ATATCTTCAATTCTCCTACTAACGGTTTCATTGGAAATAGGAATATTTTGCATTTGTTTAGCATATTTATCACCTAAAATTGCTTTAGTTGCATCTATGATACATGGTAAAACTAATTCCTCACCAACAGTAGAGGGTTTTTTGGTTTTTGCGATTCTAAGTGAAAGTTGATACGACGCCTTCAAAGTAGCTTTATCGTAAGTTGAATATGACTTTTAAGGATATTTTTTGACGATTTTAGTTCACAGTCTTATACTCCACTACCCAGTATCCTTTAGATATCTGGTATGTCCTTTAGAGCAGTGGCAACCTCATCCTTAGTAAACAATCGGGATAATTCTGAGAAAGAGTGTTCTCTTTAAGTGATTGAGTTCTTGCTATAAGTTATGTGGATTGTCTTGGGGCTCTTGACACTCTGACAATGTTGTTTTCAATTTATTTAGGTGTTATAGTTGGATTTTTTTTTGCTTGCGCTGTGACACCAGAGTTTTGGAAACTTTATCTTCTAACAGTATCTAGGTTATGGAGAAGGTTTTTAGCTATAGTAAAGATGTTTACTTTTCATTCCATCCTGGAGAATGTATTTTCTTCTAAATCCCCTGGGAATATGCTTTTAAGTGTGATAATTGAGGCGTTGAGCGCAAAAGTGGCCCAACCCACAAAATGTTTAAAATTGAGTTATATGCAGAAATGGCCTGTTAGTACAACAAATTTTATAATGAAAATGCGAACCAACCCTAATCATGCTACCCGTCGAGAGATGGCAGTGCAAACTACTTTTGCACTCTCCATATTGCAAGTCATTTTAAATGCAAAAACGGCCCAAACCTCATGGGCCGTTTTTGCATTAGCAGATTTGCAGTTTTGACATAAAGCTGATTGGGTACAGTCCGAATTTAAAAGTGTTAATTGTTGTGTTTATTACAATATTATGGGTGATACAATTAGGCAATACGACGAAACAAGTTCAGGTGAGTATCTACAAACATTTTTTTAATATTGTGAAATGTAGAATCAGCGCAAACGGTTGTTTAAATAATTTTAAGGTTAGGTTTTCGAAGAATAATTACTAATTAAATTAATATAGAAACTGCTTTTTGTATAAATAAATATAATAATCGTGATATATGTGAAAATGAATATCTAAACATTTTCCTAATAACATTTACACATTTGTTTTGGCTAATTGAATTAGTTCCAGTGCCATAACACAGTATCATTTACATACACATGTTGTGTATTCGGTTAATATTCAATCAAAAAGAATAGTAATCGTCTTTTAAAGTTATTACCTATGAGTATTACAAACATAACTAACGAAATGTTTATTCTTTAGATAGTGAACCTTTTCCGGTGTCAGAATCCGAGTATGAACCAAGTGAATATAGTATAGAGTCCAGGGAATCCCCTACTGACAGAGGTATGTACAACAACAATAATACTTTTGGCGTACTATTTATAAATATTTTACAGGGCGGATTAATAAGTACTTCTTGTCAATAATGGCTGAGCAATTCTTTTTCTTCAAATGCAAATCCACTAATGGATGTTAGCGATCATATTTTTCATTACCTCTTTGTTTCTTGCAATATGTATCAGATATTTTTTATGTCGTTAATCCCTGTCTATTGCCTTATGTTTCGGAGCGAGGACATTTTCTTGCATCCCATTCCACTCTTGCTTTCAATTTTACCCTCGATTTTAAGTTGGAGGAACTGGTATTTTTCATTTCGCATGATGTGACCTAGATGCGCCGTTCTCCTTTTCTTGATGGTTTCCAAAAATTTGGCGTTCTCGGTTGATTCAGCAATTGAAAATATAAAAAGTGATAAAATTATTCTGCATAGAAAAAAAACATATTTTTTTATTTCAGGAGAGGATGTGGCTTCTACTTCAAATTACGTACCATCGTTATTAGAAGAGGAAAATGGTATGCCAAAATCAAAAGGAAAGAAAAGGATCCGGAATGAATTACAATGGAAGAGAAATATTAGAAAAAGGAACAAGACTGCAGGCCAAGAATACATCAGTGTAAAGGGAAATATTGTGCCTGCGAAAACTTTTGTGGCTAAAGACTGTATGTGCTTAAAAAAATGCCATGCGAAGTTTTCGCAAGAGCGGCGTGAAGCACTATTTAAAAACTTTTATGCATTAGAGTCACACGATTTGCAAACTGCATTTATATATGGACAAATACGCGTTCAGGTCAAAGAACGATCATACAGCACGCAGAATATTAAAAAAAAAGAAAATGCAAAATACTATTTTTTATCGGATGAGCGTGGAAAAGAATGCCAGGTCTGCAAAGAGTTTTTTAAACTATCATTAGGGGTTTCTGATGGTCGAATAACAAGGGCTCTCGCAACAAAGAAAACAACTGGAACACCTCGAACTGATGGTCGCGGTAAAACATCATCAGCGAATAAGACTTCTGAAGTAAAAATTGAGGGAGTTAAAAATTTTATAAATAAATTTCCTGTTTACGACTCTCACTATTCGAGAGAAAAAAACCCAGCACGTAAATACCTATCTCCTGATCTAGACATAACAAAATTATTCAATTTATACAAGGCTGAGGTACCAAATAATAACGTTTCAATGTTTTTATTCCGTCGCATTTTCAATCAAGACTTCAATTTGAGCTTTCATCCTCCAATTTCAGACAGTTGTCGCAAATGTGATGCATTTAACGTTAAAATTAAAGCCGCTATAGCAAATAACGAAGAGTGTCACATTATTCAAGCAGAGCAAGAACTACATCAAAGAAAGGCAGAAGCTGCACGACAAGGTATGAATCAGGACGCAGCAGCAGCTGTTCTCGACAACGATCTGACAGTTATTTCATTTGACCTTATGAAAACTTTAGCAACACCAATTATTTCTACGGGAATTGCCTACTACAAAAGGCAGTTGTGGACGTTTTGTTTCGGAATTCATAACTTACAAACACATGTTGCCCACATGTACATGTGGAATGAAAGCATTGCTTCACGTGGATCCCAAGAAATTGGATCCTGCATTGCACATTACATAAAGAACTATGTTGGAACGAAAAAATTGATTATGTACAGTGATCAATGTGGAGGGCAGAACAGAAACTTTAAAATGGCTGCCCTTTGTACTTACATTGTTGCAAGCAACGAATTTACAGTAGAAAGTATAGATCATAAATTCTTAGTCTCTGGACATTCATATTTACCGAATGACCAAGATTTCGGACTTATTGAGAAGAACAAGAAGCACTATAAAAACATCTATGTTCCTAGTGACTGGATGCAAGTAGTGTCTGACACCCGAAAAAAGAATAAGTTCCATGTGGTCGCAATGAAATCCACAGATTTTTTTTCCACGCAAGGTTTGGAAAAGGCGTTAACGCATCGTAAAACAACTGAAAGAGGAGAAAAAGTAGAGTGGTTGCGCATACAGTGGCTACGCTACAGTAAGGAAAAACCTGGATTTTTTAAATTCAAATATTCCAACAACGAAGAGGTTTTTTTTTATGAAGCTAACATGACAAAACGGGACAAGAAAAACTTTTTGGAACTTGCCACATTTAATCAGCGATTATTTGCAGGACCAAGGCCGATACAAGTAGCAAAATACAAAGATTTGCTAGCGTTACTTGACTATATTCCTCCCGTTCATCACGAATTTTATAAACTACTGCTACACAGTGAACGTGCTGCAGAGGACCTGGACGCAATAGCAGATGATGACAATTAAAAAATATTGTAAATAAAGTTTATTTGCCTTAAATAAATTTAAATAATTGTATTTTCCTTTTTTTTCGTATCACAAGCCCTTATTGCTTTGATAAGTTATAACAAAACCATAAATGCAAAAGTGGCCCAAACCACAATCAAATCTATATTTTTTTAATTACATGCAAAAAAAGTAATATTACCATACCTAATATCATTTTACATACAAACATAAAAAAATAAATGATATAATTTAAGTTTTAGAAACATTAATTTGCATTCAAAAAAAGAGCAAAATTTCTTTTGCGATTTGCTCCGTGTTGAATATTTTGGGCTTGGGCCACTTTTGCGCTCAACGCCTCAATTATAAGTTTGTTTCTTAATTTTTTAAAGAATAAAGTAGACTTGTCTACATGTGGTTCACTTTGGCAAACATGAATATATTATGGCTAATAGTCTACAAACTTTAGGATTTCTTGGTAACTAAAACATGGTATCATCAGCTTACAGGATCTTAGGAGATTTATAGTTTATGCTTTTGTAATATATAAAGTCACTTACTATGGGAATAATGGATCTATTCAAATTTTGAAAATATTTTCTGGATTATATGCTTATGTAAATTCTACAGTTAAGTCTTACATATTCTTACCTAAAAACTTTTGAGTTGTGTGTAATGGCTTCATTGACAGAAGGAAAATCATTCAAAATCAGGTACTGTTTGATATCTGACACTAATTTCATAAGAGATTCCCCTGCTCTTACTATATTAGCAGCTCGTACGTGCATCTCATAAGTATCTTGCTCACACTGAGTCATCCTTGATAGTTGTGTATCATGTTCTCCTTTGGAGAGTTTAACAATCTCTAAAAAATATTAGTTTATTAATATATCTATGGCTTATAAAATATATAGATTAGATTAGTTCTACTTTTTATTAAAACGACTAAAAAATGTTGCTTCTGAAGTCTGGACATTCCAGACACCAGTAATATCTCCTATCTACCACACTAGATGTACAACAAAAAAAGGCTTTATTAACTAAAAATCTTGAAAGAGTGTAACCATCATTTACCGTACCTTCGAAGTTTTCGAGCATGCTTTTGACATCGTCCTTTAATCGAGTTCGGTAAGATTTTAACAGTGCTTCTTTACTTTGTGGAAGAGTTCTTGATACAGACATTTTTGAAAATACTTTTGTTTACACTTCACTCAAGTTTACTTTTTCACAAAAATGCTAAATCTTAGGTTAACAAGTTTTAGAAACATTCTTCTTTTATTTTTTGACAGAAAGTATAACATAACCTAAATTAACAACTCCGTTAATACTGTAAATAGAAAATGTAAATATTACATGGAATTTGGAATTTAATAGTGGTGATCTGGTGATTGTAAAAAGTATCTTAAATATATTGAATTATGGTAATATAACCAATAAGTTTCTTTATGTTAAAATGCTATTTATTAATATCTTTTTAGGCTGTTACATTACACACTGACTTAGGTAATTTAAAACTAGAGCTATTTTGTGAATCCTGCCCTAAAGCATGTGAGAACTTCCTAGCCCTCTGTGCAAGTGATTATTATACCGGTTGTTTATTTCATAGAAACATTAAAGGATTCATCGTTCAAACTGGAGATCCTACAGGTACAGGCAAAGGAGGAACATCCATCTGGGGCAAAAAATTTGAAGACGAATTTAAAGAACAATTAAAAGTAATACATTTTATTATAATCATATAGCTAGAGAGGTGTTTTATGAAATTTAGAATTTTTATACAAACAGTTGTTGTTGTTGTTGTTTGTTTGTGTTTAAATGACTGCATACACTAAATCCATTCGCCAATCTTACAATTTGAGGTGTAGTGTGTGTGTGTCTGTGTGTGTAGAGTAATTGTCTTGATACTTAGCGAAGTCGACGTCATTGTTTTTGCTAAGAGACGCTAATTGTATCCGAACGTCTGCGGTCCCTCCGGTGTGTACCGATCACACAAGGATAGAAATTATTTTCATTTATTAATTTTTTTTAATAAACGAAAATTTCCACCCAGGTGGGATTCGAACTCACGACCTTTAGGTTTAAAGGCAGGCGCTCTTATCACTGAGCCACAGAGGGGGTTAATATACAAACAGTATATACTTATATGATTCCAATTTAAAATTTGAGAATATGTAGTAGGTATAAAACGGAATCCTGTTTTATTCATGGCATACTTTAAATGCAAAAAAATGTTTAACTATTATTCTTTTTTTTTTTCAAAGAGTCAAATTAAGTCAAAAATTTGTATCTATTAAAAAAAAAAACAGTGTGATATGTCACTGAATATTTGCTCCTTATACTAAGTAGTTTTTAAATATAATTTAAACAAAGAGATATAATAATTTACAACAAAGATTTTAAACTATATACTGTGATGAGAATGATTCTTGTAAGTCAATTAAACATATATGTTTATACTATTAGCAAATTAATTAAATTAATTTTTAGCACAGTGAAAGAGGTACTATTTCTATGGCTAGTAATGGTCCTAATACAAACGGTAGTCAGTTCTTTATTAGTTATGCAGCCCAGCCTCATTTGGATTTGAAGTACACCATTTTTGGAAAGTATGTATAGAGTTCTGATAATGTATAGGTATTAATTAGTATATTATATGAATCAACTACATTTTAAGGAATATAACTATTTTATTGACATATTTTACACAGGAGATCTTTTATTTTCATTTGTTTTGGAAATGTTTTTAAAGTTTTTTTTATCATCTAGTTCATTTGCTCAGTTTGGGAATATTTGGATAAATTCATTGTCAGAAACACAACTAACACAATACAACACAAAAATTCCTACCTCTCACTATAGGACTTTTCATCAGCCACAATGTATTTCATATAGACATATTTGACAATGATATATAATAATATTATAACTGGTATTATGTACTGGTTTATACATTTATAAAGAAATATTTAAATAAATATTTTTTTATTAATAAAGAAATAACTTTCTTCTTCTTTTTTCCTTCTTGAATGTATGCTTTAAAGCCTGTTTCTTCTTCAATATTAGCCTTCTAAATTGTTTAAATTGTCGCACCATCTTTTTCTTGGTCTGCCAATACTTCTTCATCCATTTGGTGACCTAACTGTGCTATTTGTACTATCCTATCCTCTGCCATTCTAATAATGTGTTGGTTCCACTCCTGTTTCCGTTTTTTTCACCCATCTATTTATGTCTTCTATATTGCATGCTCTTCTTATGTTTTCGCTTCATACTCCTATCCAACAGACTTTTCCCTGATATTCGTTGGAGTATTTTCCCTCTGTTGTTTCTAGTAGTTGTCTTGTTTTAGATGTGTCAGATCTTGTCTATGCCATGTATGTTAATATAGGTCTAATTGCCACTTTATAGATTCTTGTTTTTGTGTCTGGGCTTAGGTGTTTATTCTTCCAGATTGTATCATTAAGAGATCCCACCATTTTACTTGCTTTTAAGCTTTGTTGTCATACTTCTTCTTCAACATCTCCGTGACTAGTTATATCTCTTCCCAGATATGTAAACCTTGCTTCATGCTTTATTATCTTTTTCATCAATTTCTATTTTACATCTTAGTGGGTATTTAGATGTTGTCATAGGTTTGGTTTTTTCTGCTGATATTATCATATTGTATTTATTGGCTGTTGTATTGAAGATGTGTCTTAATCTTTGGAGTTCGTCTTATGTCTCAGCGAATAGTGCGGCGTCATCTGCATAAAATAATATTTGGATTTCTTTGTTCCCCATTCTGTAGCAATGACCTTTACATACTACTTGTATTATTTTGTCCATTAGGCTTATCGAGTTACCCTGCCTGACTCCCCTTTGTACTGGTATACATTGTGTTAGTTTTCCATTTACTTTTGCCTGTATTTGATTATGGAAGTAGATGTTTTCAATGGTTTGTATAATATTAATTGGTATGTTTTTTTTATGTAGTAGGTGTAAGATGTCTTTGACTTGGATGCGATCGAAAGTGTCAGGTCTATAAAACACATATGCTGGTTTATTGTACTCAATGGCCCTTTCTATACAAATCCTTGTTGTTCATCTGCTAAAGTTGTCAGTTTATTGATTTTGTTGGTTAGGACTTTTGTGGTAAGCTTGAGTGCAGTGTTCAGCAGATTTATACCTCTATAATTGTTGGGGTCTTCTTTTTCTCCTTTCTTGAACATTGGTTTCATTATGCTGTTTCTCCATGCATTTGGTATCTTGCAGTGAAATATAGTTTTTGTATAAGTTTTGTCATTCTCTAGGGTTATACTTTCTCCTCCGTATTTTAGAAGCTTGTTGGTTATTATTGTCTGGTCCTGGTGACTTTCTATTTTTGAGTGAATTTATGGCTTTTCTACTTTCTTTTTTTTTTATTTCGTGTCTTAATTCAGGTACATTATTGGGTTGATTATTATTTTCCTTTACTTCAAACAGTTTCGTCAGGTATTTTTCCCATTCGTTTGCTGGTATGCCATTGTATTCCTTCTGCTTAAATTCAAATATGGTTGTATAAATTAATCAATACATTTGTCTTCTCTGTATTTATCCGATCACTATGGTACCGCTCGGGCTCGAGGAATGCATCCCGCTAAAGACACAAGAGTTTGAGTCGTTAAGAAGAACAGACGCAACCCGACAGTGAACCGATGCACTCATATTGAATTCGTTTTGTTCGTTGTTTTGTAAAGTAGTGTAAATCATGTTAATTAGCGGAAATTTCACCTAGTTTTACCTGAACCTATAAATTGTTATTGATTGTTCATTGCAACCATTTAAATGTTGATAATTATTTGCACCTATGAGTTAAAGTTCATTCATCTTGCCAGGTGCCGAAGGAAATGTAGTTGGTGTTAATTTGATTACTATCCATTCTCGTAATAGTTCATTGTTTGTTCAACACGCCACACCTTCAATTCTGCCATTTCTTTCCGTTGATTTCTTATGAATCTTCATATTTGTTTTTGTGGACCGTAGAAGTCGCTTTCCATTCTTTTTTAAACTGTTCCACTGTTCATTTTTTGTTCTTCTTACCAACTGATTTGTTTCATTTCGTATTCTTCTATAGGTGTCTCGGGATTCTAGGGTATTTGACGGTTTGTACTTCGTGTTGGACTCTCGTTTCTCTTTGCATTTCTCTTTTATTTCTTTTATGAACCATGGTGTATTATTGTTGTTTCTATAAAGAAATAACATCTATAATATAAAAATGTTCCTTGTATAAATATTTAAAATGTTCCTTGAAGTCTAAGGATGGTTTTTACGGCATGAAAAATTCGAATAATTTACGGGAAATCCCTAAAACAGCTCTCTTCTTTTCCCATATAAATATTTTCTAACTAAATGTAGAGTCAAGTTGAACTTTATTGCTATTCAATAAAGTTTATATTAAATTACAAGCACTCACTGTTGTCTAAACAATGTAGGTGTGTTCCTAACGTCGAAGATTCAATTTGCGCTTTATTGTAGCTGCAGAAAGTTCAAATTCAATCAAATGTATGTAGTGTGCGCGTTCGTGTGTGTGTGCGTGTTCGCGTTGGAGGATTTAATGCGTTTACACAAAAGTGATAATAACCCTATTATAATATTAATAGTAAATAATTAATTATCTCTATGTTTTGTCATTGAAGCACCCACTTTATAAATATTTGTCCCTTTAGATTATTTTTCAATCAGGTTTGAACCTTAAGTTCCCCTCTTAGTTTGAAGCCCTCTGGCAGACATCCCAGTCGAGGTTTTTAGTCAAATCTATTTGACAGAACAAAGTCTGTCGGGTCCACTAGTTGTTTATAAAGAAATAAAGGCTTTAGAAAATATATAAAATAATATATGTATTGTCTTTAAATGATTTAGAGCATGTATCACCCTTAAATATTCCATAACGACACCGCTTCGTTGTTCCTTTTCGTACATGTATCATATCAATTGTGGCACTTTATTTTTTTCAATTACTAGACTTATAGACATATAATACAAGATTGACTGATTGTTGCAATACCAGCCCGTTTCTCAGTGTGGCAAAGAAAGCTGACACAAAGCAGTCTCCACATGGGCCGGGTTTATCGTCCCGTTGACCTTGGTGACTCATTGGTCAGTAAGGTCACCTCTTCCATATTACTCGTATTATAAATGTCGATGGTTATTTATATTACTAACCTAACCTAACATGTTTGTTTACAAAAAGTCTGTTCGAAAAAATGGCTGACACTATTTTTGATGAAAAGTCTTAGTAATATCTCAAATAAATTTACTGTTGCTCACTTCTTTCAGTGACAAAAGAAGAACTACCATGAATAATGGGAATTTTTATTAATTAATACTAATTTAAAAATAACTAATGCAAAAATGAACTCTTGTTTTAATTGATCAGTTTTATTTTGTTAATAAACTGCATGTGAATATTTTTTTATTAAATATTGGCTGTGAGTATGTGTGCTTGGTTGTCTAGTAATTTCCAGACACTTCCAGTTGATTAAAATTTAACCAATGCAGCAAAAAATAATTACTAAATTTAATAGACAGTTGGGACTGGGATCAGCAAACCGAGTATATTAATTGTTTTTTTAGTATTAAGTTTAAGCATTTTTTTCAAAATTTTTGTTGCAAATTTGCAAGCAGGCTTATGCCATGTATAAGATCTTCACTTTGGTGTATGGCATGTTAAGAAGAAGAATAAGATTGATTCATGTAAGTTACTAATGGTGAAACATTGCCATATTCAAATATGCTGTCAATAATGAGGTGCACCTTCCTATTTACAATGCATGGTCATATGTTTACGACACTGTCAACTCAATGCAGCATACCATAGTATATCAAGATCATAATTATGGTTTTCCTTTTAGGGTAATCGATGGTCTTGAAACGTTAGATGAGTTAGAAAAGCTACCAGTAAATCCTAAAAACTACAAACCACTCACAGATGTCAGAATAAATAGTGTAACAATACATGCTAACCCTATAGCTGGTTGAGAAACCAATAGTTTAATTTTGAAAATATAATAAGTGTTTTTTAAATAAATTTTAATAAGATTTTTTGTGCATTTTGTATTTTTAATTCTATATAACTTATTAGAAGGGTCAGTGTTAAGTTTCATCACAAAGTCAAACCAGAATTGCGCAATTATTAAAAGAAATTGGCCAGAAAATCGAAAAATTGGATTATCGAGTCATCACCAAATACCCATAATTATAGGGTTAAGAGGAAAGTAGATTTGTCAACTCCTTCGTATGCGGCTATTAAAAAATGGAGTGCAAGGTTTAAACTTCGTCGGGAGAGATAGGTAAAATTTCTGCTTTTGAGCTTTCAAATTGTGATAACTTTTTTTTAAAGAGGTAGAGACTTAAACTTTTGTAACATCCTACGTTTATCCAGTAGATTATGTGAACCAAATTACAAAAAAACCTTTATTTAGTTCGCAGATTGAGGCTTAAATTGTTTCTACACCATTATCGACGGCATAGGTACATTTGCACATTGTACATTTTTTTAAGTAAATGTTATAAAAAACAATATATTTTGTATTTAAATGATAGTTTCATCATCATTTTGGCTTTACAACCCTGTGTGGGTCCTAGCCTCCCCAAGAATTCTCTTCCAGTCGTCCATATCCATCGCCTTCCTCCGCCAAGCACGTATTTCCATATTTCTCATATCTTGGTCTATGTTATCTAGGAATCTTGTTCTGGGTCTTGCTCTTTTTCTTTGACCAATATGTCTATCAAGGAGCGTTTTTCTAGCTGGGTCGGTTTGCTCCATCCGCATTACATGGCCTACCCACCTCAGACGTCCTATCTTAATGTGTTTTACGATATCTGGTTCCTGGTTTATTCTATAGAGTTCGAAGTTATATGATCTTCTCCAGACACCCTTTTCATTTACCGCTCCATAGATTCGCCTTAGTATTTTTCTTTCAAAACATCCTAACATGTTTTCATTGCGTTTTGTTAAAGTCAAGGTTTCTGAACCATATGTTAGGACTGGGCGTATTATTGTTTTGTAGAGTTTTACTGTTGTATTTCTTGATATAACTGTAAATTTAAAAAGGAGATTAATATCCTAGAGCCCAAAATAGCATCTATTAGCGGTGCAAATTCTGCGGTTTATCTCTGCGGTAGTGTCATTTTCAGTAATGACGAGCGTTCCCAGGTATACAAATTCGTTAACTGCTTCGATGACGTCGTTTTCTATAACAAGTGGCCGTAGTATTTGTGGTTGCGGATCTATTTTGATGTATTTGGTTTTATTAATGTTTATTATTAAACCCATTTTTGTAGCTGCTTCCTTTAGTGCTACATACGCCTCTCGTGCTGCGTTTTCCGTTCTCCCAACAATATTGATATCATCAGCATACGCTAGGATTTGCACAGATTTGTTATATATTGAACCGGTAGTTGTGATTTGTGACGTCATAAATGATAGTTTATTTGAATCAAAATACAAAAATTATTGTAAGTGTGGATTTTTGCTATACGTACATGTCTTTTTAGACAAAGAATGTTCATCACACAAGTAGAAAACACACTACACAGCTTTTTCTCGTTTTATGCTATTTTTCGGTTCGTTTTGACAACCATGGTAACTTTCGGTTACTGGAGTAGATCCATGACTACTTTGAGATGCTTCTGGGGGAGTAACTACAGCA